AGATGTAAATCCTAGAGATAAATCTTGTCTGCTAATGAAATGTAGCTGATTATCATCCTATGGCTGATCAACATGTGCACGTACGTGTGCTTTCACACTCCATTGCCTCTTCATTTATCTGTGAATCTCAGTGATACTTTTTCTACATGTGAGTTTCATGGCATCTTTTAAGCAAGCAGTCCATAGTGTTTTATAAACAAGCTAATGATTTAATTCTCCCAGCATCTTTGTGTGGCAGGCAATATGTACCAATACCTTGTGGCCATCTTTAACAAAAAGTAAATGACATAAAGAAATCTGAAAATTCTTTGGATCACATAACAAGTTAATAGAGCAGCTAAATCCTGAATTAGGACTCCTGACTCTGTGTGGTCTGGTCTTGGTCACTTTTTACCATGTATAATGGAGAGTAAACTACTATGTTTTGGGGCAGAATTAAGTACAATTGTTTATTTTTTAAAGGCAAAATTCAAAAAAGCAGAAACTTTTAAGCATTGCTGGCAGCAGTATTGTTGGATTACTTGCACTAAATAGGGTCTGAATTTCATTTATGCCCACCTAGATGTAATTACCTGTTTGTTCTGTAGGGAATGCAGTATTGAAGGATGAGCCAGTGCTGCTGGTTATGGTGCAATATAGAATACTGTTGTCTAATATGTGTTTGGTAAAGAAGATAAAGACATTTATTCTGAATTATTTAGACAAGCTAGTATCATGTTTTGCTGTTGTTGGTTATACTTTGAGACTTCTGGCTATTGCACTGTGGTAACAATATGCCTTTGGTTCGGCATGTTGCACACGCAATGTGTTGGTCGCTGGACAGTGCTGCAGAAGTTAAGGCAACTTGCAGTAGCACTCATTCCAGCTGTACAGTTTCTGCTCCCATTGGATATGATAATAGGGCCCATCACTCTGCTATGCTTCATTCTGCAGAATTTATCATGACTTTCCTGCCTGTCTGGAAGCCTGCCTACTCTTTTCACATGCCCTTCTTTCTCCCCTCCTTTCATTCCTCTTGGAATCCTTTCAGAAGCAAACACAGCACTTTGTTGCCAATTCCCAGACAAATGTAAATAAGCATTTTACTCTTCCACCCATCCCTCTCTTTCTTTATCTCTCTTCCTTTATCTCCCTTTTCTTCTTCCATCCCTGGTGCAAGACAAGCAATCAGCTTGTCAAGAATTACTAACTGCTATCCAAGAGCCTGGACTTGTGCCCGCTAAGTTGAGGGGAGGGAGTGTAGTCTTCTCTGAGTCAGTGTATGGGCCTGTTGCTGATAGCCTCCCAAGTACTGCTTTGCTGGCTAGCTAAAGAGTTAGGTGGTAGAGGAAAACCTGTGTTATCGTTGATGTGGTGCAACTGATTGTTTAGTGGTTGTTGAAAATGTGTTAATTTTATTCTGAGTGTTCAGTTAGAGCAGTGGTACAGTAAGTACAGAATTCCCTCTCCCAGTGGCTCAGATATTGTGACAGCATTCCTGGAAGTCTACCACAGATTTCTGTAAGAGTAGATTGGATCTTAAGTGGTGAATTTGTTTTCACTTGCCTTCATCAGCCACACTACTTAATTGAAGATGCTAAACTGAGAGCTCCATGTAGCCAGGTTCACAACCCCACTTGGGATTCATTTAACACCTTCCATGACATCCTGCTGTTTTGCCCAGCTACCAATATCTTTCAGGGCCTCAGAAAAATTGCTACAGTCCAGAACCTATTTCCAAAAGTGGAAACTAACATTTTGTTTCAAATTGCAGAGACCTGAGAAATGCTGACAGAAGTGTTCAGAGGTAGAGCACTTGCAGCTTGAAGTAATTTCTCCCTGTGAGATCAAGTGCAGCTGTTTCAAGTCAAATAGCCAAGAATCAAGTTTCCACCATTCATTATTAAAAGCTGGGATTTAACCACAGTAGAGCTTTGAAAGATTCCAGCAAGCATGTTTGCAGATTTAAGTGCCTGAATGCCTAAGATTTATTTGCATATACGTCCCATAGGCGCTTTCTCGTTCATGTAATCTGTTCTCATGCTGCTTTTTCTAGTCCCTGTTATTTGTGTAGTTGGTTAAAATGCTTCTGTTGAATCTTTCAGCAGTGGAATTGGTGGAAAGTTGTCTAACCTTCCTGCATCTCCCCATTCCTCAGTCTCTACAAGTAGAATTTCTCTCTGTATTCTGACCACTAACCTTAAAATTTTTCCCCCCTATTTCAGACTTTTGATGTGAAATAACTGGTTTATTCTGAGAGAGAAAGTTTATTTGCTTTCCTCCATTTTCTGCTATAGTTTTCTGTATTTTTCATTTACCTTCTGCTCAGCACTGCATGTTTAGGTGTAGCCTTAGCTCCATCTCCACACCTAGGCTGCACATCAGGTCACTGACCCCTCTTGGCATTGCTGAGCAGTTAGTGAGATTCTTTATGTAGCTATAATGGAGAGTTCTGGTCCTGTCCTTAGTTTGCCAGACACGAGCAGGTTAGAAGTCTGCTTTGGCTTATTTTCCATATCTAATATGCAGTAGCTGACTCATTTGTATGGTGAAACTGCTTTTGGAACCAGAAGCACTCTTTTTGGCCTTGCTGTCTTCCTAGTATTTTGGACTTCTGCAAGAATGGACCATCAGCATCTCTAATGCAGCTTTTTTGGCTTGACGCCTGTGGAAGTCCCCAGAGGTGAATTTGGTCCAGTGAATGAAAATATAAACAGAAACCTGTAGAAACTACCCTTACAGTTCTGGAGCACATAAAATTTTAGACATAAAAAACGACAGTTGGATGTGAACAATGGTAGCTTTACATATGGAGTTGTCAATACCAAATTTGAATTTGCTGTAGTGGTTAGAACTGAAAGAAGTGCTGGTGAAGTAAAACAGTGCTGACTGCAGCTGTGTTTTGATATGCCTGAGAGCGTCCCCTTGAATGATAAAGTGGAGTATTGCTGTGTCCTGTAGAGCTACCATTGGCAGAACAAATTACACAAAGCTGAGACTGAAGAGTTTCAGCTGACAGAAGCAATAATATGACGGGTTTTTTGCAAACTGGAGAAGAGTTTCTTTTTCTGATGTTCACTCCATAAACAGAAGATGGTGTAAAAACACAGGTGTATAGTAAGGTTGTAAAACATCCACTTCTCAATAAATTATGAAGCAAACGTGCAGTTCGGTGTACGAAGGCAAAAATAAAAAGGTAGAAAATTTTTGATGAAATGCCCTACAGTATTAAGGCCAGTGTATTAGAAATCACTGGCTGACTTTTTGCCAGTGGTGTTTATACACACAAATCATTGCCACTAAATGTTGTAGTCTGAATTTGCTGTCTGTACATACTTCTTGTATTAATACTACTTAAGCTGATTTTTATCTTATTGGAAAGGATTGTGGCAAATGTGGTTGCTTCTTAAAAACCGGAGCCCAGTATCTCTAACTTTTCAAATGAGAGCTGTGCTGTCCTGAAGCCCTTACGGGACCGCAGTTCCATCTTCTGCCTTCAGACAAAGCCAGTGCAACCCGAGAGCTGTGCGGTCGTTTGCCTGATCAGCTGTGCCATCTAGTGGCTAGCGGCTGGTGGTGTTAGTTGAAGAAAAAGAAAAAAAATAGAACAGAAAGCCAGTGGAGTTTTTAATGCATTTTTACAGCAGCAGGGAAAATGGATGGAGGTTGACAATTCGTCATCTTGCCTGTTTTCTCCCCCTAACTAACAGGCATTCATAGATCATTACTGGTTTCCAAAAAACCCGTTGGTTTTACTGTCTGTTGTCCGCTCTCTGTTCTTACTCTGTTTGCAGAGGTCCGGGTTGAAATCATCTGCTATGGTGGAATACTTGGGCAAGAATTATTAGTGCTGTATTCACAAAGCTTCGGAAGTCATATTGTAACGTCACTGTTACTGCCTGCATCTGGAACACTGATTCCCAAAAACTTGGCTCAAATGCCTGAATTTCTTTGACACCCCCAAGTATCCCCATTGTCCACCTGTCCTTTACGCAACTGCTAAACTTCACTCTTGGTTGTACATAAGTAGTGTGCAAATTGGATTTTGTGCAAGAGGTGACCACCAGAGCTGCCCAGTACTTTACTGGTTAGTGCAGGCACCCAGAATGTTCAAAACCCAGGGTTAAGCCCCTTGACTGGTTGATTATTTTGACTTTGGACTCATGTTGGTGTTGAGGTTTTCGCTAAATAAAAGTTAATGTTGGGACACTCAACCAAACCCCCCCTCCCTCCCCCCTTAGAAGACCCCGTAAGAGGCTGAGTCCTGACATTTGTGTGCCGTTGGTTTACATGCTGCTGAAGTCTCACTTCAATTGAACGGTCTCAGACTGTTTTCAGTTCTGTGTAGCACGTCACTTGCATTGCTGATACCGAGAGGGCAAAGGCTTCCATAGCTGTGTAAACTGAAACAATCCCTTCGGCTTTGAGATTGGGTTTGAGAGAGAGGGCTTCAGCTGGGAGTACCTCAGGAGCGTTGCCTCGCTCTCGGTACGGGTTTGTCTCGTGTAACATGGGAGAGGTTGCAGCTCACTGTCACAGCCTGGGAACATGGTTTGAAGAACATGCTACTGCACATGGGCTGCACTGTAGTGCAACAGTCCTCATACATGCTCTTACCCTGTGCTGCTATGGGGGCACCGTACCCCTAGTGGAGGCAGTTGAGATGGAAAAGCTTGATTTAAAAAAATAGAATAATATTTGTTATTAATCAGGGACGGAGTTGTTCAAGACAACCAACACCTGCCGGCTTTATAAAAGAAAAAAAGAAATGCACACAGAGGATCTTTCTTTTGTATGTGTGAGGTTTGCAAAACTAAGTTAAATACCAAAAGCAACGTTTTGATACTTTTTCTCTCTGGAGACACCTGTAAGATTCAGTACAAGTCACTACTGCTCTAAGAACCAACTGTCCGTGTGGATCCCATGTAATCGAGTAGTTGTCATGCTGATTTAAAAAGGGCTTCTTTGAGGTTGTTTGCTTAAGGAAAGTGTAATCATTTTTCTGTCCCATTCTTTTCTAGGATATTAAACACAACATTGTTTGAACTATATGAATCTCTGGGCAATTTTCCTGCCTTATGGGTCTTCAACGTGCTGCTTGTGGTTCTTCAAATTCTGCACTGTTTTTGGTCTTACCTAATCATAAAGGCAGCTTACAAAGCTATTTCAAAGGGCAAGGTAAGACAGCACCATTCTGTTTCATGTATAGTATTTGAATTTTTCCAGTATCAATACAGGGTCACTGACTTTTTGGTTATGTTTTCTTTCTAATTCATAACACATTACTGAAGACACATGTTTTATGTATACTCTTCTTTCCTTTCATGAAATTTTTTTTCCACTCCTCCTAACAAATGTCAAATAAGTTAATATACTTTTTATAGTAATTTTATATGTATGTGCTGCCACACTTCTTTTTTATAGCATGGTGCACTGAACCAGACTACATTAAGGAAATTGGATTAAAAAAAACCCCAAGCAAACTGCTTCCTTGAGGCTGCCAGTTCTGTTTTTCTTCTTTATAGGAGCTGTTAGCAAAACATTCATGTTCCAGCTGGTGGTGATAGTAATAATAGTACAGATTGAAATTCTGCAGCGTTTGCTAGTGGCAAAGTTACAAATCACAGCCTGGTTTGGGTTTTGGTATTAATGATGTTCTGCAAAGGGCTGTGTACTTTCTTTCTAGGATTCCTACAGCAAGAGCGTTTGGGGTAAAATTGTCTTGCTGCTATTGTTGTATCTGACAGGGAGATATAATTCACACAAATGCTAGCTCCAGTACACTTGCTGTGCAAATACGGCACTCACATTTAGGTGCTAGAAGTAATGCTTACAGATTGTGTAAAGTACAGGGCATTTTGCCCTGAAAGAGTAGCGCGCCTGAGTAGGTGTTTTAGACATGTGACTGCTCCCAAAGTGAACAGGATTGTTCTGCAGAAAACTGCTTTCTATTAATGTACGAAAGAGCTCAGCCTTGTGCTGGAAGGAACCTGGAATCTGCCACTCGCTCCATATTAAAGACAGTGCATTCGTGAACTGTGTTTTGCCTGGAAGCCACACTTCAGTCTTCTCTGCTTTTAGCCATTATTAACCTCAGCTGTCCTGTCTGAATTACACCAGTGACTTCAAAGAGTGCTTCGTACTCTCTCTTACTCTGCTTGTTTATCCTTTCCCTTGTGCTGTGCTGGAAGGCTGGGAAGTGGAACCCCTTGCGTGTAAGTTTCTTTAAATTTACTATGCAAAAGACTTATTCTGCGCAATACTGGTGTTTGTGGGGGTTTTTTTATATGTAATTTCTGCTTGGTATTTTTATCCATTGTTTGTGTCTATATATTTAGGTGAAGGCTATCTTTAAAGGCCATTTTTACTTCTTGCCTATGCATTGCCTAGTACCATTCAAACCTACTTATACCTGTAGTATCTGAATGCTGTTATGTTACAACCATTTTTACACATATGTATCAGCAGGATAAGCAGATGCTCTGTCACCATTCAGGAAGCATAATTGAGAGCGTAAGTCCTCTGCCTTGCAGTTCAAACAATTGCACAGGAGAAAATTTAGATTGTATGAGAGCAGAGTTAGACACTCATGGTAAGACCAGGTTAAAGATGCATGTGCACAAGATATACATGGAGGATTCTTCTTCCAATTTTAACTTGCTTCCTTACTCACAACCCTGCTCTTTCCATTTCTGAGGTAAAATAAGCAGTGTTTTCACAGCACATTACAGATATCTTACAGTAGAGTTTCATGCCTAAATATTAGTTTATTGTTGTATTACTAGTATCCACCTCTGGAATAGCTCAGGTGATAAAGTAATTTATTATCATTAAATTTGTAACTAATCCTGTCATCTATTTCTTACCCTCTGTTATGCTTAGAAGTTTTAAAAACTTATATATATATTTTTCTAGACTCCTTACGTAGAAATTACTCCAGTGGATTCTTTTGGAGATAAACAGAGAACTAAGTACTGCAAGATGTGTTCCATTCCTGTCAGGTTTTAAGTGCAAAGACCCTGGTGTGTTGCTACATTTTAAAAAGAAAGAGCAGATCACATGTTTAACAGAAGTGGCTGCAGTGTAGAATCTTTTTATGATTGTTTGGCTTTGGGGCAGGACGGTAGCAGAACACTGGCAGCAAATGTAATAAATTAAGAGAATTTCAGATGACGCATAATTTTTCGGTCATCTGGTCTGTCCTCACGTCGATCACAGGCACTCAGTAGCCTGTGCTGGGCCCATTCTCTTCTGTCTGACAAAAGGATAATTCTAAGTATATTTCTGTATCCCCAAAAGCTTTAATATAGAAGTCACTTTATGTAAAAGAGACTGAAGTAATCTGTTAATTGCAGCTGTGTAAGTATGGAATCAAATTTCTGACTTCAGCTGAAGTCCAGTTTCATGGGTGTCAGAATTGCAGGCTTGCTAGACTTTCCCTGTTTGGAGGTATATGGGAACTGCGTGTTTCTTTTTTCTCTGTTCCTAAGCAGAATAGTGTCACTCAGGTGTTAGGATATTGCAAGGATGGTAGCACCATTGGGAACCCTAAAGGCAAATGGCCATTTCTGGGCCAAGAGCTGAAGAGCAGAATAATCGTGAGGGCTTTCTGGAGTAGAGGAGGATTACTGTAAGAAAAAAATTACGTGCACCGGCCCTGTTTAATTGTTTTGAGTTCCCTGGGGAAAAGGCTGGCCATGTGTTTTGCCCCCTTTATGTCCATTTGCTATAGTAAAGTCAATTGCAATTACCCGATGTGACAACCTGCACAGCATGGCTACATTTTGACCAAATTAGGAAGCTTAACTGTACAAACTGGCACAGAAGCAGGCATGGAAAACTGTGTCTTTGAAGCTGCGTACAGCTTAGACTTCAGACCTCTTTCTGTTGATGCTGGTTTTTCACTTCATCTGATGCACTCTTACCGGTTTTGAAGACTTTCAAGATCAAACTGGGTAAAGCTCTGGGTAACCTTGCCTGGCTCCATAGCTGACTCTACTTCGAGCAGGAGGCTGGGCATAGACTTCTTGAGGTCTCTTCTAACCTGAGTTACCCTATGATCTTACATGTTGGCAGTGCCATTGTTACCTCCCCAGGAAAACCATCCCATTAAAAACAGGGCAGGCAAGGCCTTTTCTTTGCAGGATTTTCTTTTCTGTTGCCCTTGTTTGCTCTCCTTAACCTGACTGTTGTTGGCTTCCTCATGTTTTGACTTGTTTTGGGTACACCTGACTGAATGGGGTGGAGCAAAGTCAACTCAGGGATTCTGAAGGGGCTCAGTGCTCATCTCTCAAACTTAGTGATCTTCATTTGTGATCTTCAAAGAGCTCCACAGAGGAGGGGAGCAGACTCCCTAACCTACGGAACAGCATTCACCCAGTAATGCGTATAAACTGGCAGGAAGGAAGTCAGCTGGAAACTAGCAGGAGATCCCTAGCAATTAAATTAAGGTCAGTCTGCTTCTGAAACAGCTTTCCAGTGGCATGATGGGGCAGACAGTTGAACTGCTGAAGTACGTTTGTGGCTTCTGTGGTAGGGACTGGAGTGGACTCTGTCCAGTCTCCCCAAGCCCCATTGTCACCACTTGCCTGAGGTCAAAGACTGGAGTTACCTGGTGCAGTGAGTTGTATTTCAGCCAGTACTGCTGTCTCCTACTGCCAGACTGTAGCACTGTTCTCTGGAGCCATGTGGCCTCCAGAGAATGAGTTGGGAGGTGAAGGGCAGGAAGTTGGGGTGAATATTTCGTATTATCATGTCAAAGAGAAGTACCCCAAAGGAAGCACAGGAAATAAAGTTGTAGTAGGAGGACAGAGGGATGGGAGCTAGTTTGAATTTGGAAGCTTAGATGGTTGGCTGCTTTAGCCTGTGCACAACCCTTTGCCTCGAGCACTGTGCCCTCCCTTAAACATACCACCTTCAATGCACCAGTGCAAAGTTCTCACCCTGCCTTTGCATGTGGCATATGTGTGTACAGGCATCTGTGTTTGAAGTGAGTCCAGGCAAGCAAAGGCAGAGAAGTGTGCCAGAGCCGAGATCACCTTCAAAGCTCAGACTGAAAAATGTTTGAATTCTCTGATTCTGGCTTGAACCAAATAGCTCAGTTTTTTCCTTATGATCACCTACCGCTTCCTTCTTTTTCAAATTCTACAGGTAGCAAAGGATGACCGAAGCGACATTGAGTCCAGCTCAGATGAGGAAGAAACAGTACCTCGTTCAAAGACCCCACACAGCACTATTACCACTAATGGGACTGGTGGTGCCAATGGGACAAACGGGTATCTTACTGGTGGCACTTGCTCGGAGGAGCATTAAGTCTTGAGTTCTGTCATGAGACACGAACAAAATGAACTGTTAGCTACTGGAAGTAAATTATAAGTTGTGAATGCAGTTTCTTCGTATATCTCAGCATCAGAAAAAATTAGGAGTATCAAAGCATTCTGATAGCGCACTGCCATATTTCCTGTTTGTGAATGAAGACAACACACCATTCTGTATACGTAGGCATGCTGTATGTGTATGTAACTGACACAATGGGAGCAGTATTTTCACTTGTACTGTCTTTGAAATATTATTTATTTTGTATTCCTTTGGGAACTTCTGGACAAAAGGGAATATCCATTCTCAAAGTTATCTCTTGGGATTCTCAGTGGTGGAGACCATCATGCTCAGATCTCTTCTGTCCATCCTTGTTGCTTTTGCTCAATCTGCTATAAGTAATAGTTGCTCAATTTGTTACTTACAGTAAGATAGAACATATCTTTATAGATGCTAGATCTGCTTCAGATATTTTTGCTGTCTTTGTGTTTTAAAGTGCTGGTTTTGAAATTGCCTATCAAATCACAGTGGCCGTTCCTCCAACATAAAGTTTTAAAACACTGGATTGATATTTTAAATAGTAGGTAATGTGGTCAATTAGCAATTCAGGGGGGAAAAAATGTGGTAATTGTGGGATATTATTTTAGCATAATTTAAAATTCGGTTTGGTGGTTAATTGCATTAGAAGTAGACTTGATTAGTTGTGCAAATACCCAGAAGCATTGATGTCAACAGTTAGGATAAACTCATTCTCACTTTTTTTTTTGCCTTGCAATTTTTCACCTCTATAGATTTTAGTTTTTTGCAGAGATTCCATGTTGAAAGGTGTTTGTTCAAGTGCACCATTGTGGATGTAGACCTCACTCCTGAAACTGTTCTTGCAGGTTCAGATGGATGAGAGCAGGGATGTAATGGAAAAAACAGCAGATGAAAAGTTCATTGCTTCCTCGGACACAGTTTAGACTAAGTACTGTTCTTATAATTATTGCCACTTTCTTGGTAGGGTGTAGAGAGAGAAGGCAGAATGTCATACATTACTAGAAGTAGTTTATTTTAAATGCATGAAAACTTCAGCAAAATTCACTTAACATAATTGACATTAAACTTTGAACACTCAGCAGTAGTTTATCACCTCTAGAAAAAAATTAAGGGTATCTGTAAAATAATTTTGCTCTCTTTTTCATCCAGGATTTACAAACTGTCCCAAAGAAGACAAAGGAACACCCAAAATGAACATATTTTGAAACATTATATACACACTTCTTCCAGTCTCTAGATCAAAGTTTGATGTAGGATGCTAAGGATCATACAACTCTTGCAGGACACTTTTCTGTGATTTGCAACAGCAGTGCCAAAAGTAGGCGAGGTTCTTGGGTAACAGACTCTATGCAACCTACTGTTCAACAGTATTGTGTATGTGCACACGGAACCAATGTGCTTATAGACCAAAGACTTCTATGTATATTAAAAAAAAAATAAAAAAGTAAAAAAAAAAAATAGGAGGGAACAAACCAGGAAAAAAGATTTAATAGTGTGTCTTCTATATACAAAGGGATTGGGGCGCCGTGTTCAACTGGAACTCTAAGCCAGGAGATCTTTCTGATTCCTTCCACCTATGCAAATAGCAAAATATAGATGGCTTGCAATGCCATAAAATATGTTTAAAGGCTCTATTTTATACAGATTCCATTGAAGAAAGTTGTGTTGGCACTTCTTTATTTTGAAAAACTGAGATTTGTCCTATTCTACTGATCACTCTTGAAAACTTCTGAAACCTTTATTATCTATGGGGACCCTTGTGTGTTAGCAAAAAAAGTGCTAAAAGTAAGACCAGAATGGCATGAATGAAAATAGTACCTCCACTTAGTAGACAGGTAAGAAAACTGAAAAATTGTAAGTCATGGAGGAAGAGCTGTCAGTTTTTCTGTCAATAGAGCATCTTTTGAAAAAAACAGGTGAGCTTGTAATTCAGCAGCTGCATAGCTTATATGTCTGTAAGTATATCTGAGGGAGCAAGGGAGTCTTGTTTAAATCTCCTTCTCCCCTAAAAGTTTCTCTGCCTCTAATTTTTCTCATCTGTCTCCTGTGCCTCTGATTCCATGTGGTTGTCTGCAGGGCAGGTTAGCCTGATTGCAATAGAAAGTATCCCATCAACAGTATTTGAAGTGGCAGCTGTTTAATAATTACTGTCAAGATGATACCAAGATTTTAAAACAAAACTATCCTGGGATATATTGAATGAATTGAATGTTATAATTTATGAAATCTGTCCTGCTAAGGTGGTAATTGAGAATACCAGTTTAAACACACCTCTTTCATGGTGTTGATTACTACCTCCACTGGACCATTTCCCTTCTGCAAATACGGTCACAAAAATGGCATTCTGGCAAAATATTTTGTCCTGCATGGGGACAGAGTGTAGCTCTGAGCTATCAACATCCACAGCATAGGTATCATACAATAGTGCTGTAATGTTGTTGATATCAGGACAAAGAGCAGTTCCCAATGACAATCCCTGTGCAGGAGGCAGGAGACCTTTGGTCCCTGTTGGTCCTCCCCAGCTGTGCTCCACAGCATTGATTCAGATGTACAGTCAAGGCTACAACCCTTGAGATGATTTACCACTGCTGGCTACATATGCTTTTAGCATACCCCCACTGTTAAATAATGCAACTTGGATTCATACTCTTCCTTTGAGGTTTAAATTCAGTTGCATCTATGATGCGCTAAAGCATGTACACAGTTACCATGGTTCAGCTGACTCCCAGTGACTTATCTCCTGCAAACCTGGCTTTTTGGAGTCTGTTCTTAGCAGCCTAGAATAAATTCAATACAGATAAGTCTGGAAAATAGATGAGATGAGAGATTCAAATGACACATTTGCAGAAATGGGATAAGAGTAAGGAAGCATTGAGAACTTCACTGAACTTTGCCGAACAATCAGTAAACTTTAAAGCTACAATGTTTTTATGGAAATTTAACATTCACACAATTTTTTCTGTTTTCACTGAGAAGGACCGACCAAGTGTTTTAGTGATTATACTTGGCAGTGTGTTTAGATTCATTGCTTTAAACCAGTGGATGTCAAAACTTTGGCTTCGTCTTCCACTCTGCAGAGAGAATGTCATGCAACTATTTCCTTTTTCATTTGAATTTGTTAGCTTCTTTGCCGAAGAGCTTTGCAAGGTGCTTTTGGAGGCCATAAAGTATTTAGAGGATAATCACACATACTCCAGAAAATTGATTTAAATTATTCATATGGCTCATGATAAATGTGAGATCTTAAAAGGTTCTGTATATTCGTACCTTTTGTAGAATTGTCATTTTAGTCATTTTAGAAATGAGGATTTGTACTCTATAACCTATTTGTCTTCAACTTCTATGGTCCCTTTTTATAGTACAGTACACGACACAGTGGTTGAGATGTTGAAGTAGAAAAATGAGGAAACGATATGTAGAGTTTATTAGTAAATAGTAAGAATTTGTCTTCTCTCCCTAGCCAGCCCAGAATATAGTAAAAGAAGATTCAGGTCTCTCGTTGTTTACTGTTTCCCATATTGACATTTGTACCAAAAGAAAAATGTATAATGGAGGAGTTTTTCGTAAAAAACTAGACACAAACATTGCAGAAAATGACAGAAATATCTGATCAAACAACAAGGGAGGGCGTTGGAGTCTTTTGGATCTTGATGAATGTTAAATAGTGCTAGTTCTAAAATACCAAAGTGTCCCATGCTGTTTCCTTGTTGCCATTTTGTAGGGTTTTCTATGTGTTATTTATTTAATGATTCCAGCAGAATTGGAACAGGTGTCACAGCTTCATATGCTCCTCTCTCAGCCTGTGACCATTCTGTGTGATTGCCAATGCCAAATCCTTTTTCTGAGACCCAAGTACATGCACTAAAGCTTTGCTTACAGTGAAGTGATTCCTGTCTGAAATCTGTATCTCTTTCGAGTGAAAATCACTTTCTGGTTCTGAACGGAACGTGGTGGCGAAAGCCATTACACTGCAGCAAATGTCAGTGATGACCAACATGGGTTGATTTAGACACTGTGTGTGTTTCACGCAGAGTGTTCTAGTAGGAAGCCTAATGCCCATTTCATTCGTCTTCTCATTACTGCAGCCTTCCGTATTCTCAGAGAAATACGGGCTACCATTGGTTTTCTACAGTTAATGCTTTGGTATTTTTTTAATCTCTTTGCTACAACTCATTTTTGTATGTCTCCTATTGTCTACTTCTTGTGACATTTGTGCGAAAGGACCTATCGAATAATTTTTACCCTTCCTGTAGACCCTATTAGGTTGAACTTCAGTGTTCTGCAAACTACAGTTGCCTTTAAACCATAAAGGAAAACCGGTTTGTATTACTTGTTTTGACTGGTTTTGATTTGGAACAGGGACCTAATGGGAACTTCAGTAAGACAACCGTATTTTTTTTTTCCTTTTCTTTTCAAAAAGCACTAGTGGAAGTTTGGAAAAGTGGCATATATGTATAGCCTTTAAATTGTAAAGATTTCTGATTGTAGTTGCGATGAAAACACAGTGTTTGAGTGTGTCTGTACAGAATTCTTGGTCTTTGAAATTGCTTTCAATTAAAAAAATGGCGGAAATACTATGAAATGGTGTTTTAGAGCCATGTCAATGATCACATGTCAGACAAAAGACCAAAATTACTGTCTTACATGACCTAAAATGATCTGTGCAACAGAACACATTTTCTGGCTTCTCTTGAGCTTCAGCTTCTTGCAGTCCCGCGGTTTAACTTTCATACATGAGCTCTCATACCGTACTGTGCATGTTGACTGCCTGTCGCAAGTCAGGGTGAGGCAGATGACACTGTTTCACCTGTGTTTTCATGACAGTCTTGTGCTTGAGCAACTCTTTCAGAAATGCAGCGATGTGTAGAAACTCCACTGTCTCAGACACAGTGATGTGCTAGCTAGAAGTCCTTTCATGTATAGCTGTTGTGTAGAGCTTTGGGAGTTATTTTGTGTTTAACTTGGTTGATTTGGGTTTTTTTTAATATGGAAAATGATTACTCCTCATAAAATCTCTGGAACCAATCAGTATTGTGGGCTATTTCAATTTGGAGACACTTTCATAATAAACATAAGTATTAGGAATGTAGTGTCCATTTTCTTCTTTATTCTGTGAAATGCAAGTGATGTTTTCCTTCGTTTTAGCTCAAAGATTGTTATCCACACTGCAGCCTCCAGCATTTTTAGAGCAGATCCAAGTATGTCTTTGCTGAGATCATCACTGCGGTATTGTATGTTCTTTTTTATGTGAAACTGTTTGTAACAGTAAGTGTTGGAAGGACAAGTTCTCTCTAGACAAATTAAAATACTTCAGTTTTTTTTTAAAAAAAGATATTTTGCTAGGATTTCAAAAGTAAAATTTAGCATGTTAATCATTTCTGAATGTCCAGCTGGACCCACTTTGGAAAAGCTGTCCTTTTTCAGTCTAGGTTGTCAGAGTTTCTTAAAAGTAGATGTTCACTCAGACGTTTCAGGCTAGACTGTCAGTCAGCAAAGCACCACCTACTAACCACTTGCAGAAGTGGGAGAAGAGGCCCACTGTTGTACAGTGGTTTGTCGCGTTAAGGGAGGGGGGTAACGGGAGTCTGATGTTCAGCTTGCCTGCCAGAGCCCTTCCAAGGACTTTCACAGAAACAGTTTCGCAAAGTTGAAACAACAGGTAATTTATTCAAGGGACAGTTATCACAGATTTGGAATTGCCATTGATAAATTCACTGTCTACAAAAGTTG